TTAGGAATGTGTTAACAGGCACAGTATGATTTCCAGAAATTGAAAATCCAATAACGTACATACAACCTACCATCTACTTTTAAGTGCCACTTAACTTTGTCTATTCATACTGAGGCTGAAAAATAAATTGGCAGCAATTTACAACAGTTGCATAATTTTACAGTCTTGGAAACTAGAGGTCAGAGAAATTAAAAGACTTGCTCAAAAAAAAAAACCACAAAAAAACCCAACAATTAATGGTGACAATAGGAGATGAGTCTTCTAATTTCTAAATAAATTGCTTTGTAAAAAGTAATAATAATATGAATAACAACAACAAAAACACACACACACAAAACAAAACAAAGCCAATAAGCAGGAAAAATTAATTTTATGAACCCAGCTCTTCACATATTTTTCATATGATGGTATTGGAAGGAGTCTGTGGACGAAGACTAAACGTATCAACAGTGGGGTTTAAACCCACACAGGCACTACCCCATTGGATCTTAAGTTGAATGCCTTAACTACTCAGCCAAACCAGTGATTTATGTGCCTGGCTGTTAATGACTATGCTTAGAATACGAAACTCAAAAGCAAAAAAAAAAAAAAAAAAAAAAAAAAACCCCAAAAACAAAAACTCAGGACATTCAGTTATCATATTGGTACAGATATTGTTCGATATTGTATGGTTATTCAGGTCTTTAAATACTTTGGGCTTTTTAATATTTGTGAACATAATATTTTTCATTAGTGTCACAGGAAACAAATATGATTTAAGTATCACTAAAAAATACAATGTCCAAAGGAAACACTTTACTTCATGGAAAGAGAAAAACATTTTGAGGGCTTTAGGCTTTTTATATTTTACACAAAATATTTAGGCTTGAAAGCCACACCAAGTCTCAAGAGGCTTTGAAACTTTAAGTTAATGTATCCAGAAGAAAGGTTAGTGCCTATTCTTAGTGAATCACTGGTCAGCCAGTCAGTTGGTAAATATCAGTTATTAAAAACTAAATGTGTTCAGGGCACAGTTTTGGGACTGTTTAAAAAAAATGCTAGCTTTGTTTCTCTTATCAGAGCTGATATCTGAGATAGCAGGTGACTGAGAACACTGTCAAATGAAAATTTTAAGGTGAAATAAGACACAAGTTTATACAAATTTAGTGGTAGACCTCTTGGCTTCTGGATATAGGAAGAGAAGGATCACTGGACTTACTCATAGATGAAATTTTAGTGGCCAGATGAAATAAATTAAACCATGAGATCAAAAAAATTTCCTGATGTTTGGCAAATGAGGCTCAGTTTGTGTGGGTTATGCATTACCATATCAATATATTTGTTAGTTTAGAAGAAAGATGTATGATACATGAAAGTAAGCAGATGCCCCAGAGAATAGTGTGTGAGGCAGGAAGCAGAAATCACTGTGGCTGGAGAAATGGGCAGGGACCAATTATTAAAGAATCTTGAGGGTCACATTTTCAAGACTGGCCTTTGTTTTGTGGATGATAATGCAATATTGAGAGCTTTTAAGAAACAATGATATGATTTCTTACCAACTCCAATAATTCAGAGCATGTCTGCAGCCTTAAATATAATTAAATACAGGTAAGAGGAAAAAAAAGAATAGAGAGAGTAATAAAAGGAAGGAATAAAGGAAGGAAGAAAAAGAGAAAAGGCTCTGTTTTTATTTGCCCCTAAAACCAAGGTCTCCACTCAATCCTGGCAATGCCTGTTTTGCTGATGAATGGGTTAAAACAAGGTGTAGTTGCTAAAAGCCTACTCAGTGACAATGATAATGATCCAATGTAACAGGCAATGCCCTTGTACTTTCCAGGATTAAGGTGTGATTTAAAACTGTTTTCACAACATCTATGCTTTGTGCTGTGCTAATTTCAAAAGTAGCTTTTTTTATTTTTTATTTTTTTTTAATCAAATATCTGTATTCTTAACTGAGCTTCTCTCAGACCTTGGTACTCTATCCTTTAGTGGCTGTGATCACAATGTTATGTTACTATGATTACTATCTGCCATAGTGTTAATTTTCACGTAATATTTGCTGTTATGATTATGAACTAGCAGCTGGGAAGACTAATTTATTACTTGGCTATTACTGTTGAAGGTCATGTAACTCCAATGTTCTGCTAAAGCATTTGATCACATCCCACATGCTCTGCCAGAATGCCTTTCTTCTGACAACTCCTCAGGCTTCTATGGAATTTATCACTTTTTCAACCAGTGAAGTTGAAGCCAGTAGGTACTTATTTCTGGTAGCTGCCAATAAAGTATCTGGTTTCTCAAATGCCCTCTGTTCTTATACCCAGCTTTTCTTTATTCAGTAGTTATAAGAAATGATGTTCATAAAAATTCAGCTACCTACATAAACAACCTTCAAATATCTGTTGGAGACTAACTTAGTTCTGAATATTACTTGAAATCTCAACTAGGACACTTTCACTGTGTTATTCAGGTGTATAGAAGAATATGTTCAAGTCTACCTGTGAAAAGTCTATTAATATTGCAGGTGCAAGTTGTGGCTTATAGGACAATTTTGAGACAAGCAGAGCAAGACTCTCTTTCAAGTGGAGTGGGTAATACAGATTGGAATGTAGAATTTATAATAAATGGAATAATGCAACTGGTTAAGTGCTAATGCCCTAAATGCAAGAGAAAAGACAGTCAGGATCCACTTCAGCATACGGAAAAATATAGAGGTTTTAGTAATCTTTCCAAGATACCATAGATAACTTTTCAATTAAATAGTTCAATCTCATAATTGTCCTTAATATTGAAAAACCAAATGGAAACCTAAAACATCATTTTTATGAGATAATTTGCCTATCAACATTAGAATATTTGTGACCAAAACATAGGCTCACTAGATTAAACATTTTTGAATGAGCAAAAACGTATCTTTGAGATAAGCCTGACGCTACTTCTGGTTCTGTAGAACATTCGGGAAGAACTGCAAATCACATGGCAGACAATTTGGCATGTAGAAATGGTGTCCTATGACACAGTTTGAACATGGTTTACAATACAAAGAGCTATAGAAAAGAGCTCAGTTTTTCTAGGATAAGAGGTCTGAGTAGTGATGGTGATGCCATATTTCTGGACAACATAGGTATCATTTTAAATTGTGAGGACAGACAACAGAAGATGTGTTAAGTTTGATGAAATGACAGGTTGGATTGGAGAGGGGTAGATATATCCTGGAGGTAGTTGAAATAGTCCATTCAGGGAAGAAGTAGGGTCCAAATGAAAATTCTTTTATAAAAGAAATCTCATGAAAGGAGAGACAAAATTTAGGATATACCTAATGTCATTGAGACCCATGCAGTTATAATTCTGGAATGGACAAGAGAGTGGTAATGCTGACAGTGCTGAAGTTAAGAGCATAGGCATATAAGGAAGATAAAAGTATATACTTTTGATATTTTGAATCAATATAACATAAATATATAGAAGAGAATGAAGCGAAACGCAGAACTCCAGCACATGTGCACTTTTAGGAGTTAGGAAACAAAAACAGTTGAAGAAGGCAGAGAAAATTATAAGGATAGAGGGATCAGAGAGAAAATAAGAATGAGGAGAGATACAAAAAAAGGAGTTGGAAGTAACCAACAGAAAGAAGTTCAGGAAGAAACAGCCAAGACAAGGTCCTGGGAACTGGAAACTGTAAGGAGCCAGAGGAGGAAGTCACATTCAGGCAAGGTGGGAAGACAAAGGAGGTAGCAAATGTACACTATCCTGTGGAAAAGACTTTTCAATGAAGTGTTTCAAAAAAAATGAGATGTTAGTTCAAGAGCAACAAGGAAAGTATTTTAAGATTAAAGAGAAGTAATTATGGTGTTTTGTTATTCATTTCTTCAGAGGGAGAAAAATCTAAATAGAAGCATCTAAAGAACTAGAGAAAGTAATGGGTGACTTATGGGGCAAGTTTACAGGAAGAAAGATAAAATGAGAATGTGATTTCTATGTTAAAGCTATGAAGTCATATGCTCTGTGAAGTATTTTTGTCATCTTATGTCGCTTATTAAATACATTTATTTTTTGCACTCATTTAACACATTAGTGATGATAGAAAGATGAACTCTAAATGCTTCTTCTGACATGGCATAGATAATGATTCTAGCAGTGTCAGCTTAAAAAAAACTTCTTTGCCATCTCTTTTATTTCTTCCTGCTTTTAAAAATTCCACCTTGGAGATGTAGGAGTTGGCATCCTCTAGTTTTCCAAAAGCTCCTTGCTTGTAGATTTCTGGTCTGTTTCGGTCTGTGGCACAGTCATAGAGTGTCACTTGTTAAAGCCATGTGAGACTCCAAGGAGACTGGGCTGAGAAGGCCATGTGAGACTCTAAGGAGATTGGGCTGAGAAGGCTCGCAGAGGCTTTCATAGATCTCACAGCTGCTTCCATCAGGGTATAATGGCTACTTGCTTTTCTACAGATGCTTAGTTTCTCCGTTTCAACAGAAACATTGTATCTTCAGTCAGAAACTTCAGTCAAATAAAAAATGCGATGTAGAGAATGCCCAGTTGGTGCCCCAGACTTTGACACTCACCATTTTGTCTCAGGTGTCATGGGAGTTTATGTTCTAAGGCCTTTGTTTCTTTCTAAGACAAACATCTCCCTTTAGTAATTTTATCTGTCAATGTGGGTTTAATTTTATTTGCATACTGATGACAACAGATTAATGTTATAAAATTAGCCTTAATGTTCTCTCTGCCACGTCTGTGCTCTATGCTTGCCAAACTAATGTCAAGGATATGGTATCTAGAATATTTTCTTTCAAGTTATCCCTACCAAACTGGTTGCTTTTATGAAATGCAGGTAGCTCTGTAACCCTTCAGCTTTGTCTCTCATTTTCTTGAAACTTCATATTAGGAACCAACATCTTGAAGGTGAGAATATCAGACCCAATAGTTTTCCCTGTTTTTTTTTAAATTAAAATTTATTTCCGGTAAAACAACAGCATATATAAACCAGGAAATCAATGACATCAAGCTCTAGCAATCTTAGTGGAGAAACAATACTTTACTTCTACTTCAGAAAGCAAATGCCAGAACGATGTGCCTTTTCATCTTAAACCTTTTTTGATCAACACCAAATGCCTCAAAAACTTTAATAACAATAACCAACATTTGAATAGGGCTATAAATGTTTCAAGGGATGTTTATATACATAATCACTTTTAATTCAAAGAAAAACCTTACAAAAGAGTCACTATTCTTACTCTCATTTTGAATTCAAGGTCATGAAGAACAGAGAGCTCAAATAATCTCCAAAAGGTCATCCATAAAGCAGGTAGCTGAGCTTCTGGATTCAAACCTCAAGATCTTTCTGTAATTCCACATTATCTCCAAGCTATGTGTTACTGTTTCTGGATACATTAATGGCTTCTATTGCAATAAAACTTGGTTCTGAACCACTAAAGTGCGAATAGAATGACACTTTCCTTTCTCAGAAAGTGGCTAATCCAAACTTAACTTTTAGAAACTTGTAGAAGTAATCATAATAAAGCTGAATGCCAGGAAAATTATACCTTTTCTTAGTTATAATAAGAAAGATTTATGTTTCTTGAACAATGATCATATACCAGGAGCTCTAGTAAGTGCTTCAAATGAATTTTAACAATAGTATTATTATTATCCCTGTCTATCAATGTGGAAACTGGCAATGATAATTTAACTTGACCAGGGTCACCCAGCTGACTTCATAAACAGCCTGCTTCTAGAGCCCACATGGTTAACCTCAGTAAGTACTCCTTCTAAGCTAAAATACTTGGAATGCAGTTGGCCTATTGAAAAGCTTTTCCTCCAGAGTAGTAATGTAGCCCCCAGGGAAGTGTTAGAGATACGCTGAGCAATGACAAAGAAAAGTGAGGGAAATAAAGTTTTCAGAGTAAGTCTATCCACTCTAGAGATATTTACTGCCATACCGACTGATGATGTTCTGAAGCCCATCATCAGTTGGTGTATTTCTGCTTCATCTCCACTAGTGTCCTTGCCTGCTTTGACAGGACCAGGTAATGGACCTGCATTAAGTCACATGCTCAGTTGCTCTGCACTTCTCATTATTTGCTCCAATGAGCCCGGCCCTTTAGCTTGATTCATATTAAATGGTCAGATTTCCTTTGGATTTTGATAGATGGTGTAATTAGGATGTAGAAAATGATATTGTTGTAATTAATCAATTAATTTCTCCTAAGTAGATGTACTGGAATCACACCATATTTAGACATCATTGACTCACTTATTCATTTATTAATTAATTCAGTGGATTCCTAGTATAGTCAAAATAAAATCTAATCTCTCCAGATGACTATATGGCCCCACATGACTAAGCCCCTGTTAATCACTCCAGACTCATCTCTCACAGCTATTTTCTTGTGTTCCCTTATTTGCTTTCTTTCTGTTAAACATGCTGAATTTATTCCTGTCTCATAGCCTTTGCAGTTCCTTTATCATAATGACTTGACCTCTCCAATCCTCAGATACTCCCTTTATTCAGGTATCTGCTCAAAATCACTTCTCAGAGGCCTTTCCCATCACCTTATCCAAAACATCACCTCATGATCTTTTCACCCTGCTTTTTCTTCATCCAGTTAATCTAACTAACAGCATAGTGTGTATATTCCTATTTTTCTACACCAGAATATAAAATCATGAGAGTAGGGGCATTATCAGTCTCATTCATCTCTTTATTACCAGCATCCTGCACAGTGCTTGGTTCATTTCAGGTGTTTGTCTTGAGTGCCTAGTTATTTCTTAGGCACTACTTGAGATTATGTGATACAATTATGAATAAGACCAACAAAGTCCTGCTCTTACAGAACTTATATTTTAGTATAGAAGACTGACAAAAATAAATAAATAATTTTATCATATCAGATGGTAATGAATGAATCAGCCAAATACTTACAGTGCATATCGCTATTAAGAGGTTCAGAAACACAGTAAGTAGAAAATATTATTGTCACCCTGATTAACTCGAAATTAGTCATATAAATACAAAGCAATCAAATAGTATGAAAAGATAAAAGAATGATCAGAGAGGAATAAGGATATTAGGAGATCAAAGGAGGTAAGTTTTGAATTAAGAAAGAGGAGGGAATTAAGAAATGGAATTAAGTGGATAGGCACAAAGGGAGGAAAAGCTTCATCCACATAAAATTAATTATTTTGCAAACTGCTTCATGAATACTTCTTTGTCTTATTTTCTTTCAGCCTGTACACTGCTTAACTTCTACCTTTGATTGAGGTTATACCCACCTCAGTAAAATACCTACACTTGATAATATTTATAATATGAAGGTTTAATTTACACCTAACTCCAAACTTTAAGCCTCAGTTGTGGAACAAGAATTAGATGACAGAAAGGATCCAGGAGTCCCACATTTAAAACAGGTGAGTGGAAATCAGTGACAATGTAAATTGTAAACATCTAATATACTATATTTATCTCCTTTCCATGAATTATTATGCACATGAATATATGTGCTTGTATACATTTTCTTATTTTGAGGTCCAAAAATGATTGAATATTTTATCTGAGTTTTTCAATTAAGTAGGTAATTAAAAAATTCAACAATGTAAAAAAAAATAGTTTTCAGAATGGTAATCATGCAAGCACACTTTGCTTTAAATATTTAGGCCTCAACATAAATCCCGTTACTATAATACACATGTACCTGCAACATTACAAACACTTACCATATAAAAATACATACATTTGTAAAAGTTAAAATGTGAAAACATTTTTATTTTTGAGAAAATGGTAAATAAACTAGCTGAATAAAAACACCGTTAAGTATAAAAACAGAGACTAGTAAATTAACCAGTAAAAGTTCAATTTAGACTAAAATATACTAGCAGATTTTTTTTTTAAAAAACCTTTTGTCTTACACTCAAGGGAAACCAACTGTGATATTAATATAATATAATAGTAAGAGACATAGACACCACACATATACATATAGATAGAGTTGGCAAAGTGCTAAGTGCAATTACTTCTAATTCTCAGAGCAAATGAGCAGGATGGTATTATCTCCATTTTGAAGATGAAACATTAGGGCACTGAGAGGTAAAATAACTTGCCTTCAATAATGCACTCAAAATCAGATCTGTCTGATCCTAATGCCTGTGCTCCTTCTACTACATCATTCTGTCTTCATTAGATGACAAATCACCCTTTGGGATAAATCAAGGAATGACCTCTTTAAATAAAAGCAAAACAAATGAACAATAGAGGCCTTACTTTCTCTTCTCTCTCATTATATACATGTTATGGACTGAGTCGTGTTTCCCTAAAATTCACATATTGAAGTCCCAACCTCTAGTACCTTAAAATGTAGCTGTATTTTGGAGATAAGGTTTTAATAGTGGTGATTAAGTTAAAATGAGCCAGTTAGATTTAAAAGTTAACAATTTGTGTGGGGCCCTAATCCAATATAGGCTGGTGTCCTTACAGAAAAAAGGATAGACATTTGGGATGCATTTGTAGAGAAAAGACTATGTGAAGATAGACAAAACCTGCTGACACCTGGATGTTGAACTCATAGTCTGCAGAAGTGTGAAAAAATAAATTTCTGTTGTTTAAGCCATCCAAACCATGGTAGTTTGTTAAGGCAGTCCAAGCCAGCTAATACAGAAAGGCCAGCCTCTTTAACATTGTATGAAGACCAACATGATGGATCTATTATTACATGGACCTCATTAGGACACTAATTCACATGAAATTGGCAACCAAGGAAATTGTTGTTATGTAAAAATATGAGTTTACGCACCTGAGGACTATATTATAAACATCATAAGATGAATGCAAACTTATTTTCAGAAGTAATTTGAGATTATATGGGCAGTATATGACTTTTATCAGTAGACTATTCATTTTTTCCTTGAAATCAATAGTTGTTTCCTAAACTCCAAACTCTGAGAAGATAAATAAGGCCTTGCTATGGCATATTTATGCTTTTGTGTACTATAAGAAAAGGAATTGATTTAAACTGTTACTGAGAAATGTGGTACAGGCAAGAGAGACAGGGAGGTAGAGACTATGATATCACTAGAACTTTGTTCAGTCTGGCCTTCTGTATTAAAAAAAAGAAAAAGGTTTCTCCAAATATAAAACCAATAATTGAAAACCTGTCCTTGCTCACAGGATACAAGAGAAATTGTGGGCAGAAAAGCCAGAGAATAATGGTAAAAATCAGGGATTTCAATTGCTTCAATTCTCTATGAAGATTATTCCAGTGTCGTTTTTTGAGACAGGATCTCACTCTGTCATTGAGGCTCGAGTGCAGTGTGCAATCATGTTTACTGAAGCCTCCAACTCCTGGGCTCAAGTGATCCTCCCACCTCAGCCCCCCAAGTAGCTGGGACTACAAGAAATTGATTTTTTATTTTTATTTTTTGTGGAAATGGGGTCCACTATGTTGCTGGTCCTGGTCTCAAACTCCTGGGCTCAAGTGATCCTCCCACCTTGGCCTCTCAAAGTGCTGATATTACAGGCATGAGCCCCTGAGCCCAGAACATGCAGTGTCTTAAACTTCAAAGAGTATTATCTGAAATTTGTACAAGTTTGAAATATTTCCATTAATGAAACTCTGAATATTGAAAGAGTTCAAGTCTGATATTTCCAACATGGATTCATTTACAGTGGACATAGTGGAGTGGTTTGTCCTTGAATTCTTAGGATACTTGGGTGTCTTTCTCTCCACTTCTGCCACTGCACACAAATAGTAAGACCAAAGTATCTGCTGACTCCAGCTTCTTCACAAACACACACCTATCTCTAGCCATATGTCCATATGATAAATAAAAAATATTAGCAGCTAACATTTATTCAGTGCATGCTATATATCAGGTACTGTTCTCAGCACTTTACGTGAAATAGCACATGAAAGCCTCATAATCCTGGACTCCTATTACATTTAGTTGTACTGTGGCAAGAGATGCTAAGTACCTAAGGTCACATAGCCCATAAGTTTATAGTTGGTCTCAAACCCAGACAGTAGCCATAGAGGATCCACTCTGAAACATTAAGCTCTAATAATAAGACATTTGTTTATATATTTTTTGAGCATCAAAATTTCTCATTTAGTAAGATTAACAGGTTAACCTAACTAGAGGTTAAAGTGATTTGATCACCATCGCATGACTCATAATATAAGCAGTGAAACCAGGTCTAAAAGCCAACACATCTCACTTCCAAATCCATTCTTACACAATTAAAACTGATTTTGCAAACAGAAAATTAGAACTCAATAAGATAAATTTATCTTTTTATCTTAAGATGCCAAACTGTATTCATATCAAGAAGGAACCAGAGAGGTATTAAGGAATTCTGCTGATTTTCTGGAAAATCTGAAGAGCATCTAGTCAGAGTATGCAGCTCCAAACATGAAGACTTTCTCAGCAATTGTACAAACCTAGCCAGTATCACTATTACCCAATATGTACAAGTCCCCTGAGGGGAAAGGAACACTGTACTACCTGTTATACAAGGCACAATTAAGTGAAACCCCACACACTCGCTGTTCCAGTCTATCTGAGATGCTATATTCTACTGCTTTTTTGTTTTGTGTAAGATTTCTTCCCATTTCCTTCACCATCTATCATATGACATATATTTAAAAATTAAAATTAAAATTTATTTTGTTTTAGAAATTTACGGCAACTCCTGAGGTAAATAGAAATAAGAGAGGAAGAATCTGAGACAGAACTCACTAGTTTAAAGATTTACAGAGAAAGAAGAGAAGGATGAAAAAGACAGGGAGAGGAATATTTTATGAAAATGAAAATGAATATAGTAGATGAAGAAAATAAATGATGGATAAAATGGTAGCTGGATAAAGAAAAATAGACATTAAAGTCAAAGAGCAGAATACACTAGAGCTTCATTTTTTTTTTTAACCCTGTCTTTATTTTGTTTTTCTACCAGATTTGACTTGGGTTTTTCATAGTTCGGGTCCTAAAATAATATCATCTTAATTTGTGCTATGCCTTATAGTTCACATAACACTTCTTGTCCTTATTTCACAGAATATTCCTATAGTATACTTAAAGCAGGTTATTACTTTATGTTCTAGATGAAAACATTGAGATTCAAAGGGTTAAGTTGTTTTCCAAAGGTCATACAGCTAGTGATAGTACCCAGGTGTTCCAATTACTAACTCAATGTTCTTTTTACTGCATGATGCTGCCTCTTCAATATGATCTTTAATATGGTGTTATAGTGTCAGGACAGGTGAAATTGTGTACTTCTCTTAGTTCTCAGGATCTTGATGTCTTTAGCTTGTGCCACTGCCTTCCTGATTTTCTACGAGATTGAGATGAGAAGAAAGGCCTGAAAAAAAGTACAGATACTGAAGCACATCCTCACCCACTAACATTATTTCCCTGCATAAAACTCTTTGTCAACAAGACAACAAATGGGAACAGGCTAAAAAAAAAATCACAGAACAGTTTTTGTTTTGGTTATTATTTTCTTGCTCACAAGTACCTGCAATCTAGCCATCAAATTGCTTCATATCACACCTGTCTACTCTCTAAGAAGTGGGCGAGAGCTAGCAGAAGATGGAAAGTTGTATCAGAGGAAGACAGGACTATACCTGGAGAGGGAGATTGTGAGGGGGGAAAGGATGAATAAGGTAAGTACAGGCAGTCCTGACGAAAACTTGGCAGAGGATCCTCTATTCAAGTATCTCAAGCCTTGATCTAAAAGCAAAGAGGAATATAGATAAAGGTAACTTACCTTAACAGTTTAGGACTCATGATACTGAAAAGTAAGAAAATGAACGACCATCAATTTGATTTCCCCTATATATAAAAGTCCTAGGAAAATAATAACTTGACCAAGTTTATGCTTCCCCTCAACATGAACTGAATTTGTAGCAAAATGCTATAGTCAGCAGTAAAAAATAGTGATAAATATAAGTAGATAAAAGCTCTAAGTAGGCTGGAAATATGTTTGCCTTGTTCACTGTTATATTCCTTCCACTTACTTTAATGCAGAATATGACATACTCTCAAAATGTATATTAAATGAATAAAAACACAGATGAGTTTTATAATGCTTAACATGTAAGCAAGATCTCACAAGAAGAAATCAATGCTATCACACAAAATCTGATAAACCAGTTTGTCTGCTTTGAAATAAGAATTAAAACTATTACAAGATTCAGAGTTGAGAACAATTTTATACTATTATA